GGATTTCTCTTTTTGAGCACTGAGCCAGGGACGCGGGATCGACATTCGGGATGGAATCCTTCCAGGACCCGTTAAACCCACAATGCTCAGCCTATATAGAGCGAATTATAGCGTCGACTTCGGATCCCAGCTCGGCCTGTGTTTATGTGTTTATTCACTTTCTAATCGCGCGGCATCCATATAACACCGAAATAGGTTGGGACTGCGATCGTCGCGCTGATCGGGAGGTTCACGGTGTAATGCGCTTTTTAGCTTTACGCATGAATGACGACGGGGCGGAACGAGGAGCCGCCAAGAGCGCCGACGAAGCTACCCGGTGTCGTCGCTCCCATCATTCTTAAAGCAGCGTTACTTCCTGGCCCCCGGCCGCGCGATCTCCTTCGATATCTCGAGCACGTAGGTACAATGCAGCGGTGAAATACAGGATGAACGTTGGCACACGCAAACACTCCCGTCCTGCATCTCGCTGGGGGAAAAAAAAAAGAGCGAGGGGAACGGGCCCAATTATCGTTAGCGCACGCCTCTCCGCACCCTCCTGCTCCTTATGCCGGTACACCTTGACACGGTGAGGTAGCGCGAGAAAGAGAAAGGCACCGTTCGACCCTTCAATATACATCCTCATTATTACGTTTCTTTATTATCGCTTTACCTTGGTCCTTTTTCTTCGAGTTTCGCGATGATTTACATTTCTTCCGGTGGATGCCGACGGTGCACCGGTTGTCGGCATTTCCACGAGTTTTAACTAGAAACGAAATTAATAATAAACGCAAAGAAGAGAAGTCGCAATCGTCGTCGATCGGTGATACTGTTTGCCCGAATTTTCGTCACCAATTCAGGCATATTATCTTTCCGGCTTAATTCTTTCCTTTGACGTTTTATTCTCCGTCCCTTTCATCCTCATTGTTTTTGAATTACGCCGTAACTACTCGCATGACATTATTTGAGAACGTACGATGTTTCCTTACTTTCTTCTTCAATTGCATTGCGATTTTCGTTTTAATAATGTTTGCTATTCACATTTTCTACGATAAATGTACTTTATGTATTTTAGCAAAAGGAGAAATCTTAGTATGTTAAATAATAACAAAGAAGAAATATTTATTTCATGATGTGATTATTGCATCATGTTGTAGTGCTAAGATATACAGAGATACGAAGAGAGAGAGAGAGAGAGAGAGTCGACAATTTTTATTGATGCAACAAAAAAAGTTAAAAACAACACTTATGGACAATATTATTTGCTTTAAAATAAATCTAAACTCTTTACAAATCATTCCACGTTCGCCTTAACTTAATAATTTGTGGGTGATATATTTACGATTTGATACATCAAATTATTAAAAAATTTAAATACAATTAGAGCGTGTGTATTAACTTCCCTCGTCGTAAAATCTATTTCACCAAGAGAAACGGAAAACATAAAAGACGGCTTATGCGCCACTTCTCAAGCAAGTCTTATCTACGAAAAAATGAGAGAGGGAGAGAGAAGAATAGGAAAGAAAGAGTAAAGCGTGTGTCGCAGCATACCACAGACATATACATGTTTTTCCAAAGATAAGTCCAGTCCCGACTCCATGTCGGTATTACGATACATACACGCACTCGCTTTATTGTCATTCAAATAGTTTTCGAGTCGAACGGAGTACCACTACAATATGAACAAATGTGAGTATTTTGAAGAAGCGTGTAGAGCTCGAGTGGAGAACAATTTGTTGCTAAAAACCTGATAGCGCAGATTCAAAAGAACTAGAGACGATTGTGAGCATAAACGATTTACAAGACGCTTTACGATTCATAAACGGCACAGATTCCTTCCTCTGTTAGGATTACGGTTATTTTCAGGTTCTAATTTTGTTGTTTCAATTATCGCAATACATGCGTATCTCATGTGCATATAACTATCTCGGAATAGGGAACGTTTCGTAGAACAGCGTAAAGTTAGTAATTATTTTTCCGGTCATCTTATTAACACCATTGCTGCTGTGGTTGTTGCTGTTGTTGATCTTATTATCATTATCATTATCATTATCATTATCATTATCATTATCATTATCATTACATATCATTATCATTATCATTATCATTATCATTATCATTATTATCATTATTTTCATGGCTATTATAATTGATATTGATATTATTATTTCATTTTGGTTGATATCAATGTCAGCTATAAATATCGGAGAGATCGCATTGACAATTCCATTAGGTCGGAATTAAGTTGCGATTCATTTGCACTACTTATTTATTATAATCATGCATTGTTTTAAATCTGATTGTATGTATAAAAAGTACAATAAATTAATGTATTGTATTTTAAGCATTCGGCGTTATGTAGTGTTATAATTATGTCCCCTCGTGAAAAGCATCGAAATGATAATTCAATATTAGCATTGTAATTACCTTTCAACAATAATATGTTAATCATGGCATTAAAATGTAGCATATTGAATTTCATTATTATTCCATTTAACGAATCAATAATTAATAAGAGTTACGATAGGCTTTATAACGGTTCTTCACAGTTCATTCTTTATTATTATTGCTTGATTTTGCATTTACTTCTATGAAAAAATTCCCAATGATGATTTGAGAATTACGTCAAACCTGAGAGAAAATTATTTAAACTGCATTGTTATGCCTTGGCCCTTATAAATCGAAATGTCGTTGTGGCCACTTTTATACGCTGTCTTATAATGAAATAAGAACAGTTACAATACGAAAATTGATGCTATCGTCTCGTTTAGCCTATACAACAACAGTCACATAATTATAAATGCGAGATCTCTACCCACTTGTACAAGTGGGCCAAAGGCCGGGATTTTACATAATTTTATGGTGTTTATGGCTCGACCGATCCCGCAATGACGAAATACACAATTTTTAATGATAAAAATATGTCAATATGTATATATGGCATCACGTCATTCGAAATCTCATGTCTAGATTATGTACTATATATATGGAAATACAGGCTTTATTATCCGCTAATTATACAATTTCTGCCCGCTCTATGCAGTAATCATGAGCGTAGCGAGAAAAAGGCAGAGCGGGTCGCATATTCTCATAAGGCCCAATAATTTCCTTCCCCATTCTTTGGCGCGGCGTAGTCCCAATAGCTGGTGCCGTTTTCATAATGGCGCGTCGCGACTCGGCGCTGAAGGTAAAACGGGAGCGCGATGAAAACAATTTAGCATATCACCGGCGATAAAGTGCCCCGCGACCCAGATTTTCCGCCCGCATGGCGCGGGTCGACTCCCGGGCGCGGAAGTGACCGCATAGTTCGACATCCGAGACTCGCAGCGATAAACGAAGCCAATTCACGTGAAAGCGAAACGGGTTGCCGTCGCGACTCTCTTCGCCTTATCTCGCGGCTGCCGTGAGGAAGTGTCGAGTGATAAGGGGACGGCAGCAGAGAGAGAGAGAGAGAGAGAGAGAGAGAGAGAGAGAGAGCACGGCATTTTATGCGAAGGACGAGGTGGAGCTTAAGCTTTCGCTTTCGGACAATACGTGCCAATGACGGCTAATTATCCCGCTGAGATGCAGTTTTCGTGCGCGCGCGACTCCTCGTGTATAAAGGCTCGCAGGATTATGATTTCCTTATTTGTTTTTAGGACGATGGGAGCGCGGGCGTTTATGTAGGTAGCGAAGAGAGTCTCGAATATTATCAAAGTAGGACGAGTGCATGCGGCCTGGGAGATTAGTGTATTTTCACTCGGATTTCCTTCTCATTCTCCAGTTATTCACGCCCTCCGACTTTTAAGCACAGGGTGAATCGATTCCTATTCAATTAGATTGATTTTCCAAAAGTTTCGTTCAACGCACGGGCTTTGATCTTTGAACGAACGGTATTTAAATCACTTGGCATTGGGAACAAATATGATTAACAGCAATGATTTTCTTACTCAGTCACGAGTGACGAAACGTAACGTTTACTTGGAATGATAATATACGTCGAGCTGC